TCCAGAGGTCCTGAGTTCAATTCCCAGCAACCACATGGAGGCTCACAACTACCTATAATGAGATCTGGTGCCCTCTTCTGGCCTACAGGCAGGATACTGTATAAATAAATAAATAAATCTTTAAAAAAAAAAAGTAATATTTTATTTTATGTACATTGCTATTTTACCTGCGTGAGTGTCTGTATGAGGGATTGGAAATGGAGTTACAGATAGTTGTGAGCTGCCATGTGGAAGCTGGGAACTGAACTCCAGTCCTCTGGAAGAGCAGTCAGTGCTTTTTCTCTGCTTGCTTGCTTTTTTGAGACCGGGTTTCTCCGTGTAACAGTCCTAGCTGTCCTGGAACTAGCTCTTGTAGACCCAGGTTGGCCTCGAACTCACAGAGATCCTACTGCCTCTGCCTCCTGAGCACTGGGATTAAAGATGTGTGCCGCCACTGCCCTGTGCAGTCAGTGCTCTTAGCAGGTGAACCATCTCTCCAGCTCCCCATTTTGGATTTTTAAAGAAAAAATCTCGTCCAGATGGGTCCCAAATCTATTAAGTAGTTGAGAATGAACTGGAACTCCTGGCCTTCCTGCTTCTACCTCTCTAGATGGGGTACTGAGGTCCTGGGATGGACCCCAGACTCTGTGCACGCTAGGGGAGTGCTCGAGGCCCTGAGCTATACCCTCCGTCCCTCTGAAGATAAGTTAGTACTTCATCCTGGGGTTTTCGGATACTTTAGCTGATGAGATTTATAAGGATGATGGGCGTGGGCTCTGAGAGCCACACTGTCCTTATATGAAGAAGAGGGACAAAGAGGGGAGAGTCAAGGGACGGCAGACATAGAAATGGGACTGATGGATCTGCAGTGAAGGCGGAATGCTTCGGGAATTGCAGTGACCATCTGTGAGTCTAGCTGAAGCAGGGGGGCCGATTATGCCCGGGGGCTTGCGATCAGCCTGGGCAACAAAGTGAGACGCCGTCTATAATGAAAGTAGGTAAAATTTAAAATAAAAGAGAAGCCAAGCAGATGGCTCCGCAGAGAAAGATTGCTTCATGAGCAACAGGAGCTGAGTTCAGAGCTCAGCGTGCACAAAGGAGCCAGATGTGGCTGTGCACACCTGTAAACACTGTTCTGGAGAGGCCGAGGCAAGAGGACCTCGGGCTGGCAACTAGTCAGCCTAGACAAGTGATTGAGCATGGGAGCCCAGCCAGAGACCCTGCCTCCCTCCCCTCTCTACCTCCCTCACCCTCACAGGAGCTGCAACCAGGGGAAGATGCCTATTCATATGGTTCCTATGTAGCATATGAGAAACCGAGGGGAAGGAAGCCATGTGCCCCAAACTCTGGAATTTTCTGGAACCTTCTTCCAAGACCTTCCTCTCCCCCCATCTTCCTTCTTTCCTCTTATTTTTTGCAGGTATATGTGTATGCTTGTGTGTGTGCAAGGGTGCATGCCCACTGGAGGAAGTGTGGAGGCCAGAGGTCAGTCAATCAGGTCAAGCTGTCTCACCTTACCTTTGGAGACAGGCTCTCTTACTGAACCTGAAGCTTATTGACTGGCCAGTCAGGAAGCTCCAGGATCCTCCTGTTCTGGCTCCCAGCCCTGGAGTTGCAGATGCTCTTCCTAGTGCTTAGAGTCACATCCTCTTCCTTGCATGGCAGGCATATTATCAACTCAGCCAGTCCCCTAACTCCCCAAGCCCCTCTTTTGAGGCAGGGTCTCTCTGTAATTCTGGTTGGCCTAGAACTCGCTACATACCACATAAACCAGGCTGGACTCATAGTTATGGAAATCTGCCTGCCTCTGCCTCCTAAGTGCTGAGATTAAAGGTGTGCACTGCCACCACCACCCGTTTAAAAGACTTATCCTTTTCATTTTATGCGTATGGGTGTTTTGTCTCCATGTATGTCTGCATACCATAAGCATGCAGTACCTATGGGGGTTAGAAGAGGGTGTCTGATCCCCTGGAACTGGAGCTATGGGTGGCCGAGAGCCACCATGTGGGTGCTGAGAATATTTATGTTAAATGACTTGTCAAAAGCTGTTATGGACTGATGAGATGTCTCAGTGGATAAAGGTGCTTCCATGCAAGCCTGATAGCTAGGTTTGATCACTGGAACCCACATGGTGCAGAGAGAGAACCAACTCCTATATGGTATCTGCTGACGTCCACACACACACTGTGACACAAGGACACACACAGAGACATAAACATGACCTGCTCTGGGCTGGCAAGATGGCTCAGTTGGCATGGGGAACTGAGTCTGATCTCCAGCACCCATGTCAAAGCCAGGCATGTTGTATATGCCTGTAAGTACATTGCTGGGGAGGTGGGAGGATACGTGGGTTCACTGATGAACCCCTCTAGCCTCCTTGATGAGCCCCAGGTCCCAGTGAGAGATACCATGTCAAAAAATAAGGTGGATGCTATCTGAAAACTGATACCTGAGGTTGTCTTCTGGCCTTCACACACACACACACACACACACACACACACACACACACACTCACGTGCGCACGCGCACACACAGTATTCTGTTGCCAGGGACAGTGGTCATGCCTTCAGTTAGTACTCAGGAGGCTGAGACAGGGGGATTACCCATGAATCCAGGCCATTATGGGATGCATAGTGAGCCCCCACCTTTAAAAACAAAAGAGCCGTGTTCCAGCTGGTGGAACATTGCCTAACATGCATGAAGCCCTGGCTCCACACAGCACCACATTGACTTGGGGTGGTAGTGTATACCAGTTATCCCTGCACTCAGGAGGAGTTCAAGGTCCTCCTCAGCTACCTAGTAAGTTTGAGGTCAATGAAGGCTATATAAGACCCTGTTTTGCCCGGGCAGTGGTGGCACACGCCTTTAATCCCAGCACTCGAGAGGCAGAGTCAGGCGGATCTCTATGAGTTCGAGCCCAGCCTGGTCTACAGAGCTAGTTCCAGGGCAAGCTCCAAAGCTACAGAGAAACCCTGTCTCGAAAAACAAAACAAACCAAACCAAACAAAACAAAAAAAAGTTTTAAGAAAGAAGGAAAGGAAAAGGAGGGAGACAGAAAAAGGGGGGTGGAGCTGGGAAGATGGCTCAGTGGTCAAGAGCACTGACTGCTCTTGAAGAGGATCCAGGTTTAATACCCAGCACTCACATGGCGACACACAACCATCTGTGCTAGGCAACCTAGCACCCTCTTCTGGCCTCCACGGGTACCATATGCAGTGTGCAGGCGGGCAAATAACCGTACATAATAAAAATTGAAAATAACAAATAATTGAAAAATAAAGGAAGGGAGAAAGAGAATGTGCTGGCCTGGAGACCAGGCCAGAACCCACACATGCTTTGAGGAAGATGGTGTCCAAGGCTTATTTTACACCACGTTCATACTCTCAGGAGCTGGAGGGACCCCAATTCCTACAAAGCTAAACCTTCCATAACTCCAAAGAGGCAAATATGAACCCCTAGGCTTCATCTGCAGCACCTTAGGGAGGGAAATGGTTATATTATTATTATTCTGGTCTTGAGAAAGGGCCCAGAGCCTCCTGCCTCTGCCTCCCAAGGCATGGGATTAAAGGCATGCCTACTTGTTGTGGTAATCCTCCTGCATCAGCCTTTTGATTGTTGGATGACGGGCACCACCCTCCATGCCTGGCTAAAAGTGGCCTTTTTATATTTTTGGAAAGATTATTTTTTTATTTATGTGTGTGTGCCTATGTGAGTGTATATGCATCATGAGAGTGCAGTGCTTTTAGAGACCAGAAGAGGGTGCCACATCCCCTGGAACTAGATTTATAGGGCACTGTTAGACCTGATG